TTTAACAGCAGCCAGGACCTCACACAAAGGTGCTAATGGGTTAATGAGCCAGAGCACTATTTAGTAGGGCCTCTGGCCATGAGCAATTTGTGCTGGCAACCTTGTTCGTAGAACCAGAAGCTCTGCACCTTGATTCCTGTTTGACTCTCTGGCTTTTTGGACTCTGCTTGTGTTTTTGGACTTCTGCTCTGGCTCCTGACTCCCAGCTTTGAATCTGACGATGCTCTCGGCTTTGCTATCTAGACTCTGACTTCTGGTAACGTTTGACTATGGCTGTGTCTGGTGTTTTGGGACTTGTTTAACGCTCTGCTGACTGCTCTTCTGGCTGACCCTTGGACTTGTTTTGTGACCCACCCTGACTCCCTGGCTCTACCGTGACATCAGGAAGGATCGTTAATAATTTGAATGTTTGATTGGTTTATCCCGGTATCTTGAGGGACAGAGTAGAAAAGACGAGTATTCAGACAAAGAATTAAATAGACTTTAGAAATGTAGATACTTTACCTACTAGAACTCTTGTTATTCCATAAGCATAATCTCTGCTGGGTGGAGGAAGAAGACTGGAGGCTTGCTCTGAGGTTGCCTGTTGCCTGAAAATGGAGACCCCTTTTTCAGAGCTGTGGCTAGCTCTGTGTTTCAGAACTAAGAGTGCCTTCCTTGGCCTAAGTTTTGTGGGTCTCTGGGTCAGGTTAGAAGTGGGGTGCCCTTGCTATTGTAAACGGTAGCACCTCTGGCAACACTACACCACTCAGACGTTTTCTAATAGATAGAGATGTTTTAGAGTAGTTCACTAGCTACATCATGGAACAGTAAAAAAAAATTGTAGGTGATGAAAATGAGGTCCTTAATCACATGACAGAGAAATGCTAGGCTAGTAAGGAAAGGTGGTTTATTTGACATAAAGGTAGAGGAAAGGATAAAGTACTAAGAGGAAGGATAAAGAGAGCCTGCAGACATATATGGAGGTTATATGCTAGTATACCCTTATATTATAGCTAACTCTTGTTTAAAATACTTTGTTACAGAGGAATTTCATTACCAATAAATTAAGTAAGGGTAAGAGTATTATGAAACCAATTGCTATATTACAGCAGCTGACAGGAGTAACAAAAGGAACTATTCGAGGTGACTTCTTTGTAGGCAAGTAGAGAACAATGCTTGCTATTTGTCCTTGCAGACTTTATGCTGCAAAACATTCTAAAACACATCTTGTAAAATCTGTGTATAGTTATAGAAGAAATTCTTTAATAAGGCATTTTGTCTTCCAATATGCAGGGATATTTCCTCCTTTTTGAGTCAATGCTGGATTCTGTGATTTACGCGAGGAACAAGTACCTGGCAAAAGGTGGTTCAGGTTAGTCCACAATTCTGTTTTAATAAACCATCTCTGGGGAAGCAAAAGATTTAGACTCTGTTATGCATGACTAAGAAAGTTCTTACCTGAGATGAAAAATGTTTCCATTAGTGGAAGCTTCAAGGCATTCATTTTACAGTATGGGTAATATAAAACCATTGATGGGATATTTGGGGCTTAAAGAAAATAGCATTTTTAAATAACAGTTTGACTTTACAAAAACAGAAGTATAATCCTTGAAAGTTTATAAAGTTTTTGTTGTTGTTGAAAAACAGGCTTTCACCATAAGACATTACCATAGGAACGCTTCATAAAGACTGAAAGTAATGTAATTTTTAAGATTTTATTAATACACTGTGAGTCCAATCCTAAACAGGGTTGCATCCTTCTGTTGAAGTCAGTGGGCTAAGAAAGTGTAACTCTGGTTAGGACTGCACTATTTTTGTGTGTACATAGCAGTCAGAGTTGCTGTTGTGTGTAAGGAAGCCATGAGAACTGGAGAGCTGCTTCAGTGAATCAGGGTTTTTTTTGGGGGGGGGATCTAAGAGATGTAAGCAGCTTGCAGCTGGTAGTCTTCTTTTATGATCTTGTCCATGTTGTGTGACTGAAGATCTGATTATAATGTAGTGTACTCAAGGAAGTGGAGCACATGCAAACTATGTGTGGGTATATGCATTGTATTTATTTAGGGCAGGGGTGGCCAGACTTGCTTAATGTAACAGCCACACAGAAGAAATGTCAGAGAGCCGCAAGACATGAACAAATGTTATGCACACATTTTTATTGAAAAATATGCAAATTTGCTTTTTATTAACATTAAGTTAGACTGTGTAAAAGAGCCACATGCGGCTCCTGAGCTGCAATTTGGCCACCTCTGATTTAGGGTTTTTAAATTCCAGATTGGTGTTTAGTTTTATGTTCCACCTTGAATGTTGACGAGTAGACTATAGATTAATCAGTAAATATATAGTATTTCAGAACTCTCATGTTACTGCAAAATCACCTGAAAGAATAATGAATACATAAAGCACTTAAAGGACTTATATTAAATCATTATTTTATTGCATGCACAAGAGTACAAGCTAGCTATATGCAGTTCTACAGGGCATGTAAGGCAGAGATGTTCCACCAGGCTTTGGTTGAGGATAGCAATGGGTACCATCTTATCTGGCCCTCCCTTCCCCCCCCCCCACCCACACCTTGCTTTTTCCCTCTTTGTGGGACAGTAATACATATTGTATCTAGTTTGGCGCCATTTGATATTCTTTTAACTTTAATTTAACTCTTTTATTCTTGGTTTTATATTGCATTGTTTTTTGGGTGGTGGTGTTGTCAACTGTCCTGAGCCCTGTGAACTCAGGGAAGGGTAGTATATAATCTGTAATTATAATTAAAAATACATAAATATGCTCATTGTGCATACTGTCTACAGTCCAAAAGGTTTTTCGCTATGTCCTTATAGTATTTTTTAAAGAAATTAGTTTTAGATGTTAGGCCATTAAATAAAATTTATGGAGTATCATTTGTTTGTCAGAATGCACACTTGTAATCCTTCCACTATATTATACTCACCGCTCTTAGAAAACCTACTTTCAGTACATTGTCAACTGCATTCAGTTTCTTAGAATATAGCTACATTTCATCCCCATCTCTGATCTTTGGATTGAAACATAGTGAGACAAGCAAACTCATTTGCAGCCCAAAAGCACCTGGAAATGGTTGCAGCCCCTTTTTAATTAGTTATCAGGGAAGAAGGCAAAAAAGGGAGGGTATCCACAAGCACCCAGAAGAAAAGGTCGGGTGAGGAGGAACAGATGGTCAAGAAGAGCTGCTGCTAAAAGCCCAAGGGGACGGGGTGTGCAGCCAAGCGCCGCCATCACCAGGCTCAGCTCTGGATCCTCACTGTAGATGCTGCCACTGGTGGCCTGCTACAGCAATGTTCTCAGACCACAGCTGCCAATGCTGGGCTTGAGCAAATGCTTGCAGAGCTCTAGTTGCCAACGCATCCTCTTGCCACTCCTTGTCTGAAACCAAGTTGCCAGCAGAACTCTTCCAGCCACGCTATGCTAACCGGAGCCTGTTCTCACATTAGTCCTTCAGTACTGGAAACTGGAGGCCAACTGCTGTGAGGCCTGGAGGTCGCCCAGTAGATAACAGAGGGCAGACCAGACAGAAGACCCTAGGTTCCAGGTCTGCCTGTAGGCCCTACTCCCTGCAGCCCACCAAGGCACCCAAAACGCCAGTTTGAACAACCACTGGGCCATTCGGTGGGTCTCCTACTGCCCACCGTGGAACTAAGGGGAGGAAGGGGAAACCCTCACCTTTTGTCTGGTCCTGACCCCATGGCCGCTAAGACAGCCCTGGGTCATTCTGGAGCTGGGACTTATCATTCCTGTTTTTGCATTGGCTACTTTGCAGTGTCTCATTTCAAATATATGCAGTGATGCCAGTGGACAAGTGTTTGTTGTGCATATTGTCATACGTAACATATGTTTTAGATCTAGAGTTTAAGCACAGAGTCGCGTTGCCAACTTGTGAGTCGCGTTGCCAACTTGTGAAGCCATTGCGCGGGCTCTCCAGGCTTCAGCACCATGACTATAAGAATAGGCCCAAGGATTCTGTCCTTTCAAATTTGCCTATGACTTGTAGTGCATTCGGGTGGTTTGTTTCCTCATAGGCAATTTGTTTCCTGTTAGAAACTGAGTAGAGAATTTGTCCAACCAAAACTCTTCCCAAAAGAATTTGCACTCATCCTTCCTGTTTACAAAGAATTAGATTGTTGAACTTTTGATAGTTTAGTTAATGGAAAACTTTGAGGTCTCTGTGCTTACTGATCCACTTATTCAGTGTGTGCGTAGCCACATGGCTTAATTTAAAAAGATGCTTATTCAGGGAAAATGCAGGCTACAGTCAGATTAGATTGCACCATTTAAAGCACTCTGGGAGAGCTGTCTTTGCCCCACCATAGTGTTGTAAGCCTATAGAACATTACTATCAGTGTTCCCTCTAAGCTCACAGTTTTTTAGCCTCTAGCTCACACATTTTTTCCTAGCTCAGGAAGAATGGCTCCAGAGCAAACTAATTTATGCAGTAGCCAAATTGCTCACTCACAGCTTTAATGCCAGTAGCTCACAAAGTAGACTTTTTGCTCACAAGGCTCCACAGCTTAGAGGGAGCATTGATTACTATGCCTTGTTTTAGTGTAAATATTTTGCATGTCTGAAGCATTAATAATTCAGAGGTATTCACTGCTGTATTGTTAAAAGGCGAAGGAAAATATTTGCTGGGGAAAAGCTACTGTTCTACCATTGAAAGCTTTTAGTTTTAATGCAGGTGGGGAGTCGAAATTTAAACTGCCAAGAGGAACACAGCTGCCGGAGCAAGTCAAAGTGATAACAAAATGGAAACATTTTCTACAGCTTGCTTTCTTTTCCTCCTGGGGCAGGTTTAGCGTCTTGCAAAGCTAGCAAGGAACACTTCTTGCTCTGGTTCTAAATAGTACAGCTGAGCAATCTCAGTTTTTCAGTCTTGCTGCAACACACTAAGCCAGCAGTGCCAAAAATACAACACATGAATAACTTGTATAGAACAGGGTTGGGCAACTAGAAGCCAAATAATCAAATCTGGCCCCCTGCAGTGGTGCCATAGCCATTTTCCATTCCTTTGCTTCTTGAGGAGGTAATATAATTACAAAAGGGAAGAACTGTGGTGGGAGTGAAGCCCATACTGCCCAGCAAAGTCACTTTGCACTGTTACAAATGACTCTGGTATGTATTCTCATGGTGTGGGACACCTGGCTTAATCAGCTGTGCTTACTTCCTAGTCTCTTCATTTCATTTTAAACCAAGTCGATCAAGAATGTAAAAATTAGTCTGATTACTTCTGCCAAAATATTGACAGGTTTTTACAGTTGGTTTTATTTAATTTTTGTTTTATATTTTGTCTTTCCTTAACAACCCTTGGTGGCTTGCATCTTAGCCATAAAAGATTATCATAAAATTCATCATTAAAAATTCTACAAATGGCTCAATCCCAACAGAAGACATTGGCAACATGTTACCTGAATTACTGTACATGTGTCAAAGCAGTGACATGCAGCGGTGTCCTCCTGCCTGCACAGACCAACCATGTGTACTTTTGGGCATTTAAACACTTAAGACAGTATTGCCTATGAATATGGAGATGTGGATTCAGAGAAATAAGGGGAGGGGGGAGAATCTTCAACAAAAAGGGCGTGTTATCATGAATGTTTTCTGAGAGTCCATTCCAAAGAGCAGGGCTATGATTGAAATGGCTTGGGCATAAGTAGCTGCAGTTCGAACTACTCTTAGTGATAACAGACCTTTTCTAATGGGATGAATGTAACTGGCACACTGGTGACTGGGCATTGGATATTTATTTATGTTATTTGTAATCCAACTTTCTCACTTGTACTCAAGGTGGATTACACAGAGTGAGTCAGTACAATCAGCGGATGGGGCATTCAGTGATCAACACGATAGGATTAGGGTTGTAGAATCAACCAGAAGTCAAACAAAACTGAAACAAAGCATAAGTATTAACATGACCAGTGTTCCCTCTAAGCTGAGTTAGTGGATTCAGAGAAATAAGGGGAGGGGGGAGAATCTTCAACAAAAAGGGCGTGTTATCATGAATGTTTTCTGAGAGTCCATTCCAAAGGGCAGGGCTATGATTGAAATGGCTTGGGCATAAGTAGCTGCAGTTCGAACTACTCTTAGTGATATGTAACTGGCACACTGGTGACTGGGCATTAGAGATTTATATTATTTGTAATCCAACTTTCTCACTTGTACTCAAGGTGGATTACACAGAGTGAGTCAGTACAATCAGCGGATGGGGCATTCAGTGATCAGCACGATAGGATTAGGGTTGTAGAATCAACCAGAAGTCAAACAAAACTGAAACAAAGCATAAGTATTAACATGACCAGTGTTCCCTCTAAGCTGAGTTAGTGTGAGCTAGCTCACAGTTTTTTAGCC